CTAGCAAACTCGCGTGTTCTGGACAATATATGGATATGTATATTATGATATTTAGATATTTAGACAATTCTCATAATTTTTGCAAAAGGCTGTATATTTATATATATAAATGTCTCATAATTTGTGCAAAAGGCTGTAAATGTTCCTTATTTATATATATATATTTTCCTGTCCCAGTAGTAGTTTCATGATTTTTGAAATTCAACTTGATAACACGTGTGTTTCCACAGGTACCGCAAGTATTCATAGGAGGGAAGTTTACTGCTGATGGAAGTAAAACTAAAGCCATGAAGCAAAGTGGAGAGCTAGAGAAAGTCTTAAAGGAATGCGGAGCTTTGTAATGCCAACTGGTAATCTATTTATGAGACAATTTCAGTGTATTTACAGAAGGAAATGTAAAAGGAAATGCATGCTACACTATCGTATTGAGTGTAATTCATTCAGAATGATTTTGTTTTAATTAAATATATTTATAAGACTGAGTATTTCTTTATTGAAAAAGTGAATGTAGACCAAAATTATCATCAGATCAAGATGACATAAAGCAGGGTTTAGTGGATCAAATGAGTGTTATAAATTTTGAATTTTAACTAGGTTCAATGTGGGTTTGAAATAATGCCATCAAAAACCACTGGAAATTGTAAATAGTCACTGTTATCCACAATTGAAAACCCCGGCCCCAACCCCTGGCGCTAGCGGGGCAGTGAACAGGGATGTGGCGGGTATTTAACGTGCTTTTAACAGCAAGATTGCCCCGGAGGGTTGGGACTTTGATAAATTGTTTTTGAAGCGGGGATATTAACACATTTTTGAACATGTATAAGGCTGGAATAACTAGAGGTCGGGCATCTTGAGAAATACCCTGAAAACCTTTGTTTTATTTGCTTATTTTTCCTTTGTATGAAAAAAAATTAAAAGAAACTTATTTCACATGTTTTTCTCTATCCAGTTAGCCTCATTTAGTACGCAAATGTGTATACATGTATACAAAAAATGTTTTGTTATTTACTACTAGACCAAAATACCAGGGCAACAGTAGCAGGGATTTTAACAATTATTGTGCGCCAACCAATGGGGGAAATGTATTATTTTAACACCACTCAATTGTCAAATTCCCCGTTATTCCCCGGGGGTTTCAGTTGACTAGTGTATTACGTACGTCTTGAAAGGTAGCTAAAAAACTGTTGAGCATGCAATAATAGATACCTGTGAATTATTGTCTGTAGGTGTGAGAGGTTTTTATCATTGCACACTCAAAATGGTTGTCTCTCCTTGATGCAAAAAGCATACCTACCTTTCAAGATGGTGCAGGGAACCGCGAAGAACTGACTGTTATTCTTGGGTTGCAGTTACGTCATCACAATTTTTGTTTTTCTCACATTAAAACATGACATTCATGTCCTTTTAGAGCATAAAAAAAACATCATAGTTTGACAAAAATTTAGGATGGTAGAGCGTTTGGTTGCAGAATTATTAGCAATCGAAGATACACAAAATTTGGTAAAAATTTGTGGCGGAAATCCAGACAGTGGTCTGTATTCAAAGGTTCAATATTTACAAAACAAAAAAAATATTTTTTTACATATTTCGTTATAATATTTTTGCACTCATTAAAATGTGTATATAATGTATAAGGAAAATATTTTATGCATATCGAATTGGAATTGTTTTTTATAGGTTTGTGACAGCGTTGCGTGACACAATTCAATCTCTAATATCTCGAGAACCAAAGAATTGTATACTCATTTTTGTTCTTATATCTTTTTTATCCATAATTACAAATATAGTGTTCATCATCATAGGATGCATATTAGAGAATTTATATTTTTGTGACGTCACATGAAACCCTAGTCTCCTCGCAGCCGTTCTAAGTGGCGGGCTCCCTGTCCCCCGCCCCAGAGGGACAGGGAGCTTGCCACTAAGAACGGCTGCGAGGAGACTAATGAAACCCAAGAATTTCAGAAATATCCATAGTTATCATGACTATAAAAGAACACTTTCTTGGTGTTAGTAATTAATCTGAGTTTCAAAAACTCATAGTACATAATGAGTTATTAGGCCAATAGAATGAGCCTATTTGGTCACATGCATGGATCTTTATATCTGATAAAACACTTCTTATTAGTATTCTTTATAAAGAATACTTTAAGGGTGACCTTTATCAGATATAAAGGTCCATGACCCTAGCAAAGGTCTCAGGTTTGAAGCTGATCATTGACCAATGTGCACAGGATGTCAACCGATTGCAGTGAACAGCCAAGAGCGGTTCTGTTTTATTTCATGCGTATTCAATGTGGGATGACAAGAGTGCTTTGTAAAGTGATTCGCACATGATCAGTTTGCCCTATTTATATCAGAACATATTTGTACGGCAATTTCTCCAAGAATTTTAACGGATTTGAGTTTCAAATTAGTGTTGGAGTTTTGAAGCCGTTTAAAACACTTGAGATCGTGTTTTATAAAACACTCTCTCTCATGTTTTAAACTATACATTAAGTGTCAGGAGTGATTTTGAACATTAGAAGAATTCTTCATTTCTGAGTGTACATACAGTCATGTATAATTCGGAAAAGTCTTTCCCTGCAATACGTCATCTTTATCTGATGGTACGCTTGGGATAACACTGCATTTATGTGTTTTTACATATTCTCCAAGACCCTGTTCTTTTTAGCCTGAACTAAGAACTAAGAAAGACTTAATGCTGAAAAGGAATAAAAAATGTACACACTGCTCAGGAAAGAGCAGTGTGAACAGTTCAAGAGCAGTTCAAGAGATCTAAGCCAACAGTTAAAAAATGATCTTCTGGACTTAGAAATAAATGGGTTTTTTCATACACAGGATATTTGGTCTTGATCAATGAGGTACATGGATGCTATTCACAATTAGGAAGTGGTTAATGCTTATCCACAATTCACTGAGTGAATAACACTTTCCAAAGGACGTTTTGCAGCTCGCAGTTTTAAATGCTCATAAAGGAGGCAAACCAGAACCTATTTAATCCAATTAATGTAAACAAAAGATTTAAATTATAATACCAATTTTATCATTTTATTATATCCAATCATTCTGAGTAAAAAGTAAAAGTTAACTTACAATTTTTTCTATAATGCTACAATTCTAAAATTTTTAATAATTATATAATAAAAAAGGATGAATATAATTTAGAAGTACAATTTACAAGCTGACATTTTCCTATTAAAAAATAATATGAATATGTAGATTATCTTAATTACATACCAAATTAGAAAACTGTAAATTAGTAAATTGGTGATGCAGTAGACAAACTCTTAATATTTAATTCTCTTTAGAAAAAAGTCAAAAATTTACCATTTGATGGTAAATTGGTGGCCACAGGCACCAAGGAAATGAGGGTTAAACACTAAATATACAATATGCAATATACACTAGCATTTTTCAATACCTTATGTTAAACTTATTGTAATTTCTAATAAATTTTGGTCTTTTCCCCACTTATGGCTAGTCCAAAGTACAATGTAGGTAAATGGGCAAATGTAAATCATAAATTAAGTCAAATTGTCTGCACCCATTTGTGTCAGGATGATAGGAATTGTTGTGGATCATCACAGTGTACAAATATGATCAACCTAATTATTTTTTACACATGGTGACTATTTAAATGCCACTTTAAAAGATTTCTAAATATCCATAAACTTGTATCTTTAGTCTAAATGGTGCAGGGAAAAGACCAAAAAGTGTTGCACATGTCCTGGATTGGCCTTCTATTTTCGCTGTTCATCTTTAATTCTCTCTCCTGGACATCCCCTTCAGGATGAGGACAAGAAAAAAAAAGTTGTCCTGGTGACAGGGCAAGAACATTGGGGAACAGAGACAAGTAAGGCCCATCCTTGACATTGCTGATAATAAAAATACCATTATACCATACACCATATTACTTAAAAATTAGATGTTTTTGACCATCATAGTTAATGTCAACAAATACCATTATCATTGATAATAAATAAGGTCTTGTGAAAAGTCCAATTCCTCTTCATCAAAGTCATAGTCAGCCCAGTCTTTATGTTGAGGTGTTTTTAAGAAATCTGGAACAGGTTCTTCATCAGTCTTGCTCAAATCAAGCTTTGGTAAAATCTCCTTTGGTTTGGAGTCCTTTAGAGGAGTGCTACCAACAACATCTGATCCTTTTTCTAGGTCTTCATTTGACAACACGGTATCTGAATTTCTTTCAATATGATTTTGTTCTGTTGTTACATTATTATCAGTCTTTGGTACAGTTTTGGTTGTGTCTTCACTGCCAACTTTTCCATCACTATTCAGATTTGAACTTATATTTAATTGTGTACTTGGATCTATGTCTTGGTCAGTCTTCTCAATGACATCCTCTTGAATGTTCTCATTACTAGAAATACATTGTAAATTGTTTCCCCCAGTGTCATCACTGTGACCTTCAATATCCTCAGTATTGTGTACACTAACATGTACTAACTCTCCGTCTATTTTTCCTTGAGAATCAACATTCATAGTATCATTCTCTACCCTTTTATCAATACACTGGAGCTCACTGCCACTAATGTTGTTTGTAGACTCATGCTGATTGCCTTCATCGGTGAGATTTATATTTGTAGAATCTTTGCCATCTTCAGTTGTACATGTAGGTTGATAACTAACTTCAGATAAATTGTCTTGGGCAGGAATATCTGCAGGGGTGTCCTGCGTTTCTTCTTCCCAGTCTTCTCCTTTGCTTACTGTTACTGATTCTTCTTTTTCATTAGATATGCTTTTATTGACATCCCAGTCTTGTGATGAACTAACGAGATGGGTTTGGTTGTGGTTGTGCCCTACTCTTGCAGAACTACCTYCTTGATTATCATTATCACCTCTGTTGTCATGGAGATCCCAGGCAGGTTTGTGTCTTTGCCTTTCTCCAAATCTTTGGCTAGCATGTGTTCTGTCTTGGTGATGATCTTGTCTAAAAATAATACAAACAGCAAACTGTAGTGCAACATAGGAAATATTATGCAGTATTGTGGCTGCAGTAAAACAGAATGAAAACCTGAAAATTTGGGCTATAACAATGTGGTGACCATTTTGGCAGGCAGTAAAAGCATATTAATTTTTCCCTTTATTTCTTTCCTATAAGTTCAACAGATGTGATTATAAAAAAAACACCAAAAATGAATTCTTAGTTCTTTACATGTACAACTACTAAATCTTATTAGCCATTGATTGTAAATTGAGTTTTTYCCCCCGCTATTTTGTGGTGTGCACTCTACATGTATGATGTTAATTTTTCTCATAACAATTTTTTGTAATAAAATTGAGATATTTACCTTCCCCCTTTTGAATCAAAGTTGTTTTTGACCTTGGCCTTGTCCCACTCCCTATGCCATGTGTCTCCTCTTTTCTGTCGTGACTGCCTTGCTTGGTCGACCTTAATCCTCTCATCCTTCCATTCCTGATATTTTAGTCTTTCTTTTCCTGTCATATTGATCACTGGGTCTTGCTCTCTCTTATAACCATGTCTGGGTTCTCTACTCTTGACCTGAAAAAATGATAAAAATAAAAATGACATGTGACCAACAAGTAGTCTCTTCTAACAGCTGTGGTTTCGTCAAATTTTCTCATTGACGAGACCGGAAGTTGCGGCTGTTAGAAGAGACAAGGCACCCTACAGAAATGGATTAACTGCAACTTTGATGAATGAGCAACAAAATGTTTCCTTTTTTTCAATGGATGGCAAAGGTAAACTTTTAGTTTAACACTTACTAATCAATTCTGCAAACAGAGCTATTTTTTTCACCTGCCAAGAAAGCGAGGAGAAAAATACCTACTTCCAATTATTATTCCGTTGAACATGTGCGAGTGTGACACAGCATGACCTATGTCAAAGGTCAAGTTGCCAAATGACAAACCAAAATAGGCTGAAAACCAGCTTTTCAATGAATACCCCATAATGTTTACATCCAGAAGTTTGGATGTAATAATTGGAAGTAGTCAGAGGTATTTTTCTCTTGCTTTCTCTGCGAGTGAGAAAAGTAGCTCTGTTTAAAGAGTATCAATTAATAGATTGATGAATATTTTATAACGTGATTATTTATCATGTGTACCTTATCAACAACATCCTCAAATTGGCTGCCACCCCAAGAATGGACTGACCTACTTCCCATCTTTGACATATCGACACGGCGATYATCAGACAGAAATCCATGTCCTGGACTGCATTTCTCCTCTTTAAGCTCCTTCTCGACAAGCTTATAGTTTTCTCTTTGYCTGTCTCTAAACCGCTGAGCTTGTGGCTGTTCTTTAGACATTTTCTCAAGGATTTTACCTCTTGCTCTGCCTCTGAACTTTGAAACAGCTGGCTTATCTTTCAAGTTAACTCCTGACATGTTACCTCTTGTAGCAGTAGTTACACTTTTGGTTACTTCTTCACTATGTGTGTTTGCATTCTTAATATCTTCTTCAATTTCTTTCTGTCTCTTTAGTCGTTCTTCATTCTTTTGTCGTATCAATCGCATCTTCTCATCCAGAAGTTTTTCTTTTAAAAGTTTCTCTTCTTTCAAACTTTGGTCATTGCTTTTACTGTGAGCCATTATTTGTGGTGACATCTAAATGTTTCAGATTCCTGAAATGAAATATAAGATTATGTATTCACTTGCAAAATGGTAAAAACAATTGAAGCACCTTCACAACCAATGATATTAAGCTTTGTAAACAGATTTCTGTTAGATGACAAATAATTATGTGTATCAATTTGATAGTCAATTTTTTTGCAGTCTTATAGTTCAGTCTCATAGTATTCAATCAAAGTTCAGGGAAAAAAGTTAAAAAAAAAATGGTTGTTATGTATACTTATTCAAATACATTTTTGCCAGTTGTTATATCTCTGTATGGACATGTAGCTACAGTTGTAATCACTGACTCTTTGAAAAAGTAGCAGTAACTGTAAAAAGGTTGTAGGATAAAACTGATCAATATAGTCTTCTTCACKGCTCCCTGCACCATATTGAAAGGTAGCCGTGCCTTTACATCAAAGCAAGACGGCTGTTGAGCATGCAATGATAGTAAACTTTCTTTCACACTTACAGAAAATCATTCACAGGTATTTATCATTGCACGCTCAAYGGTTGCCTTGCTTTGATGTAAAAGCACAGCTACCTTTCAAGATGGCGCAGGTAACCGTGAAGGAGACTATTGTCATAACGGACATTGCAATACCAAGGTTGTAATGGCTAATAGCTGATGCACACTGTAAATAATAATCTTTAGTAAAAAGTACTCTCAATTTGTATGCAAGGTGAACCCAAGCAGAGACATTTTGCATGTCAAACAACACAAACATTGTTCCCCTTGGTCATGTAGTTTGTGTGAACAACAATTGCCATTCTCACCAAAAAAACATCAACCAAAAAAGCATTAAAAAATACATCTTGGACTTGGATTACACAACAACATGCAGAACTATGCAGAACTTTATCTTAGTATACAGTATCCAAGGTTTTTTTTGGGAATTAGAATCACATTAAGCTTACATCATTCTGCAAACAGACCTGAGGAAGTACTCTTTCCTCTTTTACAAAACAGGTCTCCTCTGATTGCAGCATGTAAATGTTAATGAGCTCGAAGAGCGTGATAAATGATTGGCAAAATGTAATCATCATTTCGTGAAAAAAATATTCAATAAACTTAAAGACCAAAAGCATATAAGCTTATTTCTACCTCACAAACACTTACAATGAAAACCAAAGCAACTCCAATTAACTCAATTAGCAACTAGATGTTTAACTATTTTTACAGTTGTAGCAAGACAGAAGCTATCCTTTCAAATAAAACGCACACAAGTTAAGTCGATGTGTTATTTTCTTATAAACTAATCCGTTAAATTCTGAAGATGAAGTGGATTTCGCTATGTAGACAAACTTTTCTTTTTCTGCAATACACGACTCAACTCGACAAATCAAATTCTTGAAATGTCCATAATATAATACCAAAATACTTCTTTAGGGGAAATATACTAGTAAGTAAAGCTGCTGACTCCAAAATGAGCTAGCTAGCAATAAAAAAAACAACAAAAATAAACAAAATTAAGGTTCAATTTGAAAGACATTTTCGGACGAAAGTTTACGTCCTAAAGTGCATTATCAAAGCTTATTAAAATTTCAGCTGGATAACAGCTGTGTTATGACAGGAAAACATCGAATGTATGAAAATAACTGCTAGAAGACATYGCATTGATTTTTCTTACCTCAGTCACTGGCGATCTCTTTTTGTCTGATTTTTGAATCAAAATGGAAAGCTGCTTTTCAGTGCACTCTGTCCTTTCAAAACACAAACTGAGCCTTCCAGCTGGTTGCCCAGAGGTTTTTGATGTACGCACGCGCAGAAAGTGCTCCCTAGGGAAAATCGCGGGAAACTTCAAAACACAAGACGGAAGGTTGTTTCGTGCGGAAATTTTGTCTTTTTTCTTTGCGCAAACCTTTGAAAATCGTCGCATGGCGCGAACAAAGCGTTCACGACGGTCCAGCAAGAAAGACGCCGGTGTTTCGGGTAAGTTCAAAGCTAAACTGCCGACTGTTCTAGGCATCGCTCATCCTTGCACAGTTTGGCTGTCGGCTTGTCATCAGATTTTGGCCGTCTCATTTGATATTCGCAGAAAAATGAAAATATTTTTTTTTGTACGAGATTACTGATCATTCTTTAAGTTAGCTTTTGAGGCAGGAGGGTGTCTCTTTTGCTGGATTTTTACTCGCGATATTGTTGTGTACCTGGGGGTCAAGTTACCGACATGCCGTATGTCGGTCCCTACTAGGGGGCCGGGACGAGGTTAGAGTTTGTATTTTTGCAAATGGCATACCTTATAATATGAAAACACTACTTGGTATACTAGATCCTTTCCCATCAAATGATACATGTATAATGGATATTGGAAGTTAGCCTTTGATTTTGTTTCAGATCTTTCATTATTAAGCTATGGAATTAATGACGTGACTTCAAATATTCACTCGTTCATTTCATGATCATCATGATCAGTCGATATGTCCGGCTATTCATATTCTTAGCATTAATAGATCACAACTTATTATAAAGCTGACAAGAGCAGCCAGTAGATCATTCATGGCGCTTTAAATCCCATTCGAAGCTGCTTAAACTACAAGTTTCATTAGATTACATGCAAGGCCACGCAGAAAGATGCATGTGTACATTTACTTTGCCTGATTTGATTGCATATTTATTGATTCCTAGTGACCAAAAAGGGAAAAAGGTCTGAAGACGAAGAAAGTGAAGGATGTAGCACAGTATTTGAGCAGCTCGGTACCTCTGCTGGAATGTGTTTTAAACGTGGTGACAATCAAGATGAAATAGGTAAATACATGCATGACCAGGGAATAGAGTCCGGATATCTCACAGCTTCTAGAATGACGTCTGTGATTGGTTATTCGATTTTGGTGGTAGTCTTAGAGTCAATTTCGTATGAGTGGGAAACTATCAAGTATACCTATTGAAACCCACTTTTTGATTTTCCATTATTAACTGTATTTTTATTGTTACTTGTAAGTTCGGTTTTGTTTTATTGYTTGGAAGACCTTCCATTGYTTGTCCATTGTTARTTTTGTTTAATTTATCTTTTTTTGATTCATAGCTGTTGATGTACCAATATTTCAGAAACATTTACTTGAAGCCATTAAGAGCCATAAGAATTATCCAAAGGTACTGGCAACTTTTTTCTTGTGAGAGATGTCTTTGAGAAGCATCATAGATCCTCTTTTGATCTTTATGTATTTATTATACTGTAGATTATTGAGGAATTTGTAGAAAGTCTTCAAGAAAGATGTGAATCACCAGAAAGGTTGGTTTAAGGTCCATGGCTRACAACRTGCAGTTTATAGTTGTAAAGTTAAGCTCAGCCTGGTTAAAAAACATTTTTAGCAGATATTACCATGAACACTATCTTCAGAAAGAGTAGGTTATTATAAAWCTTTTGTTCATCACTGAGYGATRAKTTATCATGCACTGCCGACCTGAGTCCTGATTTTTTWATGATATTGTACATTAATGAGATTACTTGTACCTAAAAGGTTTCGACTGAGTTTGCTGCCAATCCATATTTCAGAGGATAGTGAAGGAAGGTATGTTTGTTGATATCCTAAGATCCATTTATAGTGAATTGACTGCATTGCCATAGTTACATGTACATGTATGGTCAAGATGGATTTAGTATTCTAAGCTTTTGTCTTGATAAATGTTCATAGCATCCATGGACACAGCCAAGAAAGTTTAATGAGAATTTTATTGGCGATAGACATTTTACAGGTAAATGACAACAACAATTGCAGCAACCATGACAACAGCAAGAGCAAAAGTGACAACATCAACATTAGTAGCAGCAACAAATTCATCATTGCATCATAAGAAACAATGACATATGTACATGTAATGACTATAATGATATAATTTTATAATAGCCAATTGTTTTCTCTTCCTGATTTTTGGTCTTACACTGTATGGGGTATGGGGTATGGGGACTGTCC